TTCAAACAATACCAGTGGGGGAAAAAAATAAAAAATTGTGTGTATGTTCTCTCTTCTCTGTAGGGATCTTTTTAATGCTGCATTTTTATCATGCTGGTCAGAACTCAGTGAAGATCAGCAGGATGAACTGATACGCAGTATTGAGCTTGCTCTGACTTCTCAGGATATCGCTGAGGTCACACAGACGCTGCTTAATCTCGCAGAATTCATGGAGCACAGTGATAAGGTCAGTAATGAAGTCTATAGACATTTGACAATGTCAGGTCAATAATCAGGCCAGAATTTCAAGTTTATTCAAATCAAATCAGGAGAGGAAAGGCTTAAAAAATACCAAAATTAGGTAGAAGTTTCCATTTTATATTTGAAAGATCTTTTATTGTTTTTGCAAGTTTGGACACTTCTATTCTAAAAAGAACATACGTTTACTCTCTCTTCTTTTAATATCATTTGCAAATGAAGGGTGCTACTTGATTTTTTTTTTCTTCGTGGTGGGAAAAAAACATCAAAATCTGAAACTAAATGTAAGATGTACTGATTTTCTCTGGTTCAATGTCTGTATCCTATCCAGAGAAGTCATTAATGTTAATAAATGTACATTATTTCGGTTTTACAGCATGAGTAAACCCAAATGGAGCACTATAGTTTATTCTTCTCCTGCGCACTTGGACGATCACATTTCTTTCCATATTTAGTATGATCTCATTGTGTTGAAGACCGAATGAATGGTGCATTTGTTCAGTTTTATTCCAGCACAACAAGTAGAGCTCACACCCTTCAGTAGTGACATAGCAAATGGGCAGTAAAGTTAGAGAGCTGTGAAGTGAAGAGTTCACGCAGTGAGGGTCTGTTATATAAAACATTTTTGGGCTAGATGCTCCATTCTGTTCTGTTCTGGCCTGTTTAATATACTATTCCAGACAGTTCTTCTCTTCTATATCTAAGGTCTTGCTTTTCTGTTTTTTTCTTAGGGCCCACTTCCCTTGAGAGATGACAATGGAATTGTTCTGCTGGGAGAGAGAGCTGCTAAATGTCGGGCCTACGCCAAGGCCCTGCACTACAAGGAACTTGAGTTTCAAAAGGGCCCTTCACCACTCATTTTAGAATCCCTCATCAGGTAGGAAACAAAAAAATTCTTAAGTCTGAGGATAGTCAGGAAAATGAAATGGCTTTATTTAATTTTACTCTATATATTTTACTTAAAGGGATAGTTAATTTAATCAAAATTCTGTCCCCATTTAAACACTCTCATGTCGGTCCAAACACGTATGATATAGAGGTGTTTAAGGTTAACTACATGAAAACAAAAATTACATTGCCACCCATTACAGTAACCACTAGAAGAATAAGCACTTCTAGGTTTTTTTAGACAATGGGTTTCTTTTGAGAACTGTTGCTGTCTGAATTCAGTTTCATCAAAGGATCAATGCAGATAATACTTCAGACGTGACAAGATAGGGCTTTAGTCTCCAAAGCTAGATTTTCTCTCCTGATCTTATGTCACCCCAAGGTCCTGAAAATTCAACAGAAATTTAAATATGCACTCGGTCCTCATTTTTTAAACACACACACCTACATGCTGTACTGTATATTTAAAAGGTCCCCTTACACTGTTTATACATATGCGCTCAACATATTTTGCCGTTTTAAGCACCAAACCATGAAGTGTCTCAAGTTTCCTCCACTGTTCCTGCATTGATTGCTTGTTTTGGGATGTCTTCAGGTTTCATTTTAAATGTGGTCTGTGAATTACTGGAAGGTGCTTTGGGATTTGAGTTTCCCCTTGATTCCTCCATAACGGTTTAGGTGTAATGTCCTTCACAGAGACATTTGCTAGTGTGTTCTGTTCAAAGTTTTAAAATAATAACTTCATCAATTCAGTTTCATCTGATCTGATAGCTTTTCAAGAATAAAAGTATAAGCGAAGATGTCCAAAATTAATAAAAGATGCTTAGTGATGCATCTTTTATTAATTTGTCTTGAGCACAGTTTTCTTTGACGTTTTAGTCTGGGCAGGACATATCGAAGAAAAAAAAAAGGCAATAATTTTGCCTTTTATTTTCGCAGCCTGGCAAATGTGCATTTGATGGCTGTATTAAAAACTAATTCTAATAAATTTCCCCTTTAGATTTAATATGAAGCACAGTGATAAATGTAGCATGGGTAATGATGCGTAGTTTAAAAAAAATGTGTAATTTATAGTGGTGCATGGCACTGGTGCTTCCTCCTTGTCTGATCTTCAGTGCTGTTAATAATGTCAAGGCTGTTGAACCGTGAACCGTCTTTAAAGGGATGCTCCACCCAAAAGTGAAAACTCTTTCATTTACTCACCCTCATGCCATCCTAGAAGTATACGACTCTCTTTCTTCAGATGAACACAAACTGAGATTTTTAGAATAATAATCCATTTCTATGAGTTCATGCAATGCAAGTGGATTGCATGACGCAAAACCAGATTTCATTTGCTTTTGAGTCATTGTTTGGGCCCGACCTGCTCTACAAAACTAGGAACAGCATGTTTGTTATGGAGTAGCATATAGTTAGGAATGTTTGACTAAGTCTTAACTAATCTAAGTTGGACTAATCTTCAATTCTGAGCTCATCCTAATGTCTTAGTGATGTCTGTTCTCGTCATTGTTTCCATGCACCTTTTTATTTTACACTGCAGCCTTACAGAGTCCTAGATCTGTATTTTTTTCCCCCCCAACCTTTTAATTTGACTCCTTCCTCTTAATCTATTCTGTATCTGGCTCGTCCCTCCCATGGAGCTGTTTCTAATTTCAGAGGACTTAAGGAGTGCTTGAAGATAATTTCAATGCATCCCAGCTGCCTCCACCTCTCCAGTATTTCCCTTCAACACACACAGTCTTCGCAAAGGCCTTTGTTAGCTGTGCACTTATTTTTCTACTTGAATTTGGAAAAAATCATGGTGGGTTCCCTTTTGTCAATTGGTAGTTAAAGAGAACTTTTTAGTCTCAGGTCACATTCCTCACTTTTTTTAGATTGTTTTTGAGCAGTGTCTTTAATTTGCTTGATTGAGCTAATATCTTTTTGGAAAACTCTGATTACTCCAAAACAAACAGTGCTTGAAATTATTACTGAAAAGCATCTGCTAGTTTAGTTAGAATAGGTAGCATTGATTTTTCTTTGCATTATCCACAAATGTAAACTCTCAGTACATTTCAGAATGGAATCAGTAATGATCAGCTGTCTAGTCAGGAAGCTTGTGATTGTGGACAAGAGACTTCTCGTCTAACCCTTACCCTATGCACCTTATGAATCTTCCAATCCCGCAGACGGCACACCCGAGACTCACTCACTGGCTAATTCGTATTGCACACAGAAATGGCTAGAGAAATTGTCGGTTCTTGGTCAGAAATTGCCGGTTCATGGTCAGAGTAAATTGCCAGGGACATCTACTTTACAACCCTTATCTTAACTGTGAAGAATGACTATGTGAAACAGCACACAGGTGGCCATTGCATGGCTCTGTGCCATTCCAGTGTTATGAAAGTGCTTATATTTGTTGTAACACATGCACATGCTTTATATTAAATTAGTGCCTCCTGATAGACGAACATTTGTTGGTGATTTTTTTTTTTTTTTTAGTGGTCCAGGTCGATTCATTATTGTTTTAATATTATTTCTGTGTCTGCTGTTGGGAATGTGTTTCTGAGCAGTGTTTGTCTGTGTTTGTTACTGAATGTGCTCCACCTTTGTCAAAATAATGCATCTCTGAATTAGTAACAAGGCATTTTCTCATGGAACTTCAGCTAAACTTTGGCGACTGAGCCAGTCCTCGGGCCTGGTACTGATTGTGTTCTGTTTCTTGGGTCCTTGGTATTGTTTTGTCTTGTTTGTGTTTTATCATAATAATACAAGAACAATATTTTGTGTGGTAAAGAACAAAGAAGCTAAGAAATGCTGAGAAAGTTAGAGAAAAAGACTGATTTGTTTGTTTTCCGTGATTTGTGATGAGACTTGATTTTTTTTGCTTGTCAGATGATAAAAATGTGATTTTAGTAGAATATGGTAGGATGTAGTCTTTGAAATTTTTTTTTTCTGGGTTTTTCCTTAATAAAAATACCAAGATCTAAGAAATAACCTCATAAGGGTCTGCAATAGGGCTGCACGATAAATCGCATGTGATATTTAATGCGCATCTTGTCAGTAAAGCCAGTTCTGTAATCAGCAGTAAATCTCCATCACTACACAGAGCCATTGTTTACTACACAGAGCCATTGTTCACTGACAAGCTGCGCAAAACCACGATCATATTTTGCACATGTTTTGCGCAGCTTGTCAGTGAACAATGGCTCTGTGTAGTAAATGCTGCTCCATCTGAAAGCACGCACGTGATGGAGATTTACTGCTGATTACAGAACTGGCTTTACTGACAAGATGCGCATTAAATATCACATGCGATTTATCGTGCAGCCCTAGTCTGCAATGACATGAAGGTAATTAAATGATGACAGTTTCCATTAAAACTATTACTAATAGTAATCAAATGATTAATGGTTCCTTTTGTACTTTTGTGCCATTAAATAATTTTATATACTTTAAGTCCCCATTTGCTTATTGTTCTTGTGCATTTGAATTTTTCTGTTCTTAGTGCTTTCGGTTGAACAAGATTTGCTAGCACATATTTTTCCGCTTGGCTGCTTCTGAGGGGACTCTTGAGTGACAAACCCCTAAGCTGTAGAGTTTCGTGCCGGGTCTTATATGACATGAAAAACGGCTTTGAGAAACAAATTGTGTCAACCAGTTGGGCACAGGAAGTCCTCCAATGCACTGAAAGGTCATGTAAGGCCATACAGTTCCTGGAAGCATAACCTCAACTGGACCTCCCAGAATGCACAGAGATTCTGCACTAGCTGAAATGAAATGGAATGTGCTCATGTTAATCTAGCTTTTGTGTATTATCGGAAGAAATTATTCGATTTATGTTTTCAGGTGATGGTTTGATATTTATGGTTATTTCTTGATGAATCACCTTCACCTTGCTGGTCACTTTTTATTTGCTTTTTCATGTTATCTTTTTTAATTTTGTGGTTGTCTGTTAGGGGTCTGTGGCCATGCTGTCTGCATAACCTGGCCGTGATTGTTGTATGAATCAATCTTGACAAAGATTATATGAATTCTGAGATCGACAATCAAGGCAACAACTGCTTGAATGTTGTGTGTATTTTGTGTTTATTCATGTTTGTCACTCCCGCTAATTGTGAATTCCTTTTTGTTCATTTTGTACTAAAGCAGACACAGTATTTAGGTAACGCAAAAAGGGATTTTTTTTTTTTTAAATACAATTTATTAATCATCCAATATTTTTACTTTGTACACCGTTCATTTTGCTGTACCAGTGAATTTACTATAATGTCTAGTCTGAACTGTCAAATTGTTTGTAATTGTACATTTTGTGTGAATGGCTTACATCAGCTTGTTGCTTTCAATGATCATGTGCATAAAATCCTCTAGAAAAAGCTAAAGAAAATAAAATATTTAAGAGATAAATACCATGTATAAAATGCAATTTACAATCAAACATAATTTCATCACATATTCAGTCCTATCATTCTGTTATACAAATGCATTCCCCCTGAAAAAGTTTGCCCAGTTTAAGCTGTAGATTATGTGGATCCGTTGATGCCAAGGTTTAGTGGTGAACAGGAACATAAATTGAGTTTTGCCAAGTCTTTATGGTACAAAGCTCTGTGGTCGGATCTTCATCTCCACGCGTTTCAGTGAGTAGTTTGGTCCGTGCCATCCGTACCAAGAGATGCCATCTGAATTCTTGGTATGTGACCCATAGCGGTGAAGCACACCATTTAGATTTGAGTCAGTGCAGCAGTTGTACCAGTATCCACCTGTGAAAGAAACCCAGTAAGGTTAAGTTACAAAGTTCATTACAACAGCAGAATCTTGTGTGGTGGGTGTTTGTTTTTACCTTGGCGAAGTTGTGCGCAATTGTCCACACACTTGTCATTGTCTTTGTTTTTAGTGCTGAAGTTGGTATTGTTGTGGTAACGCAGAGAGTCGCCAGCGTTTCCACTGTACTTGGCAATGAAAAGCTTGTAGCTATTCATCTCGTTGCTCACCGTAAAGAAGCCATATTCGGCGTACCGTGTCTCACCCTCCCAGTCCTCCAGAATAGAAAAAATAACATACAGACCGTGTCATATAAGAAAGCTTGCTTTAAGCGATGTTGACTTTAAATATTCATGGATTCATATTCCTTTGAGACATTCTACATTGCTTTCATGTATGTGCATACTTGCCTCCATCTCTATTCTCAGCACTGTGGGCTGTCTGGTCAGACGGAAGATGTGTTCGTTGCCGAGCCAGAAGTCACCACGGATTGTACCAAAACCATTCTTGTACTGCTTCCAGTCGCGGTTGAAGCTTGTCAGACCAATCTTGCGTCTCTGAATGACGGTCCAGCCACCACCATTGTTCTCCATGTCACAATACACCTGGAGAAACCAAAAACATTGGGGATTCATGACAAATCTTCTTTCAAATTGAACACCCTGCTTGTATGAAGACTTCATGAAGATTCAGACTTACATTTAGTTCAGGTGTTCCAAGGAAGTCATCTTTTGGTAGTTTATACTCTCCAGAAATTTTGTAGCTCTTGTTGTAAAGGGATGCACAATCATAGATAGCATCTAAGGGAGAGAGAATTCTTGGTTTAGGGTTTCAAAGCCAGGTGCTTTTGAACAACAAGGGATTTCAACCTAGTGGGATCCACCAACAGAAGACACTTCAGTGTGCTTTAAGCTATGTGTGTCTGTGCAACTAGCACTTTCCTAACAAAGCCTCACTGTTTGCATGGTTGGAAGTGGGAAAAAGGTGACAAATGACAGCATGACAAATGACTAATTGGGTATTAAACTACAGCTGTGCATCATGCTTCGTTTAACATCTCTTTCTGGTTTGAAAGATTAATAGTCCAGTAGTTTTTTTGGGGGGGGGGCGGGATGCTCCATCGTTCTTGTGGGTTCAGAGTAGGAATCACAAATTACCTGCTGTGACTTGGCTACTGTTGTAAAGCCAGACATTCCTGCACATACTGATTATTACCTACTGATTACCTCTAACTGCTGCCCAGACATTTCACAGCTCCTTGGGTACAACTATGTTAATGGTTCCCTAAATTAAAACGTGTGCGTTTGAAGAATTCCATGTGCGTCCATTAAAGCATCCTGTTCGGATGCAACTAAACGACCCTTTGTTTTTATTTTCCTCTCTAATTCTCTTGTCACATGCTACGGTGTGATGCACTTTGCTGTAAATTTTCTCTTGGTTCTAAAATTTCTCAAATCTCACTCGCTTACTGGATAGTGTAACATAATAAAAGACATATCTTCCATTCCAAAGTAGAGGTCTGTTTCAATCTGCGACGAAGATTGAATTTCTAAATAACCCAAGAAATAATCATGTCATTTTTTGTGAAAAATGCCTAAGAAATAAACATACAGGGAACCTATAGCTAGAATAATCACTGAAGCCATATTTACATTAATCTTTCCTTAAACATGAGGTGGGCATTAGGTTTAGATGGGCTACATTATCCCATGACTTAACAGGACATCCATCGACGCTCTAAGGTATGTCAACAGCCAGCATATGTGACCTGTGACCCCTGCTGAGTGCAGAAAGTAGACTAACACATGGTGTGTGCTTGAAACTAAGCTTTCCAGCACACGTTGAGTTGTGTGTCAAGACTCACCTGAAGTGCTCTGCTGTGGAGCAGATTGGGCAGCCTGCAGCTGCATGATTTCGATCCGATTGTAGATTTCTGAATACTTGCTCTCGGCCTCTGTGACCCGGGCCTCTTGCTGCTGGTTAAGCTTTTCCAGCTCCATCATCTGCCGCACGACCTTCATAAGATCAGACTCCTGCTTCTTGCTAATTTCTTCCAGCATGCTGCTCAGATTGGCCACCTGAACCTTCAGGGAGCGCACCTCATCGCAGCATTGTGCTGGTTTTGCTGGTTTGGGTGTTGCCAGGTTCTTCTTGAAGGAACTCTGAGCCATCGCGTGACCTAGGAGTAGCAGCAAAAGAGTCAAGGATGTAGCTGTCATCTTCACGCTTTTCGTTATTATGTGCGGAGAAAGTTTGAGTGGTCTGTCTTGTTTGTGGTCTTGTCTTGTCTGTCTGTGTTGCTCTCTTGAATACTTGTCAGATGAGAGGGCACGAGAAAAATGTGAGAAGAACTCTTTAGAATGAAGTTTAGAACTGTAGAATATTCTCCGGCCAGGTTTCTCTTCTCTGCACTTCAGAATCAGATGTCTGCTCACACCGAGGGCCTGCAGCGGATGCAGCTTAAATATCTTTTCACGTGTGCTGTGCCCTCCCCTTTTGGCCCACAGTCATTGACCCCCCCTTCCACCTACCACCACTAAGCCCTCCCCACCCTTTCCCCCTGGTGAAATTTTTTCCTCCGCCTCTTGTCTGGTCCCACCCGTCATCACGTGTGCCATGCACCTCACAGTACTTCCATTATGCACAAGCGGAGTTCGTTTGTATACAGAAGATTGCATGAAGACGCTTTGTTCTGTAAAGGTCATACATCGTCTGATATTCTGATCTTTTCTTGTAAAGAAAAGTGCTCTTCCATGTTCACAGCCCTGTTACCGAAGAGAAGGACTTGTGAGAGGAAGCTGTGCTTTCTTCCATTCTTTTAATTTCTCAGAACCAGCTTGTAATTATTGGAGTGAGTGCTAGGTGAAATGCTTTCTAGCTTTTAATCCAATTAAAGGAGTGGTTCTCAATTTTTTTTCAGGTGGTAGACCACTTCAGAAGTTAAACAAAAATTTGGACCAATTAACTCAACCGAATTACATATTTTCATCAATCCTGTCTTTAGCTACGAGCCATAATTTTGCCAAAATGTTGCCGTTTTGTTTTGTTTTTTTCAGTCAAATCCTTTTTATTTGTATAGGGCTTTTGATAATACATATTGTTTCAAATCAAATGAGCTTTACAGACAATGATGTTAAAGTTTATAATATATAAACATTTTCTTCTTATTATTGAGATTTCAATAAAATGAGCATCTAACTGCCTCCTCATAACAATAATAATAAGAAAAAAATCTATGCCTTCACTTTTCTGTTCTCTAATTATCCTCCTGTCCTAGCTTTTTACTATTTTGAACATTGACTGAAACCTTGTATAATAGGCGCATCTTGTGTTTATTGCCATCTTATGAATAATCGCTTGTTGTATTCCTCAAGTGTAAGTCACTTTGGATAAAACCAAATGAGTAAATGTAAATAATGAACTAGATTACTATTTTAGACTGAATGAACTGACTCTTAAGTGACTAAAACATTACTGGATATCAGAAACCCCTTATCATAAATTCAGTAACAGTTAATTCATTGGACTGTGCTTTTTGTTCAAATTCAGTTTTGTTTTGTTTTGTTTTTTATTACCGTAACACCGTGACTATACCGGACGTGAAAATTGTCATGCCGCGCCACAACAGCTAAAGTCTGTCTGCACTGGATGCGACAAAGTGATGTTGCAAATCATTTGAACTTTGTGTCAGTACGTCATAAATAGAACGAGGCAGCAGTTTACTGTCGGGGATTTGTCGTGTTGCATCGTGTTGTGTCGTGCTGCGCTGCGCCGCGCCGCGCCGTATCTAGTGTAGACAGCATCACTGATTGTAATGAGTCCTATAGTGTTTTGTCACACCGCACCGCTCGCATCTGGTGTAGACACGGTGTAAGGCACAAGTTCATTTCATCATTTGTCAGTGTCAGCCTAAAGTAAGTTTGCGCTGTACTGAAGTGATTGACAGCTTCCTTATAAAGGAAGATCTCTTTGTTCACTTTCTATATATAAATTGTTCACAGTTTGAATAATTTGAAAAAAAAATTTTTTTTAATCAAATCCATAACTGTGATGATTGACAGTAATAACCATGGCAAAAGACGGGACAGAAAAAAATGATACTATTTGTCAAAATAGATATGTGCACTAAATCTTAAGTGTAAATGCCAGTGTTAGGGAGTAGCGACGCTACTAGCTTAACTACATTTTTCAGTAGCTTTACAGTAGCGATGCTACTTTTAAAACAGTGTAGCTTTTCCTGTAGCTAACAACTTTTTCCAGCAAGTAGCGGTGTAGCGTGACCAAACGCTACATTCTGTTTTGCGTTCTGACGAGTCACGAGCCTGTAATGTATTGAAGCATCGCAGCGTCTTCTTCTGACTAGATCACAAACTAAATTTGTCCATTACCACCATCTGTTGTGATATCACGCATCGTGCGGCTTTACAGTCTGTCCACCGACAAGAGATCATCTGATGATATTGCAAAGGATGTACAGGAGTGGGTATTTCACATGAATCAGCTGTAATTTACGAAAAACAAAGATTAAAATGCGGTCTATGTCGAAGACTTAAAGCACACACAGGAGGTGAATAATAGCCGTTTTAAACTGATTAATTTTTCTTCTTTATTGCACTCTATATCAAATGTCTATTTTACAATCATGAAAGGCCATAATATATAATCACATAATCTGTGCCCCACAGTTTTGTAATGAACACTAATCCAACAGAAAATAAAATCGCGATATAGTAGTGTGCTTATCAATTGGCAAAGGATGGTTGCGGCGGGATTCACGCAAAGCGCGGTGTTCACGATCGCAGCTGATGATTGACGTCTCCATTCACAGTCAGTAAATACCGCATGTGCTGTGAGTTTAACCTGCTTATTTTATGACTCCTCCGTATCCAGTTTAAGTTGCATACATTTTCAAATCACTCAAATCCCTTTTTTCACTTTTTTTTATTGTCACATCACCACAGCACATGTGCCTTGGTGAGTGAAATTCTTGGGAGCGTGCTCCAGACAGTGCAGAAACAATTACATATAGACATACTTACAGACTTATACAGATGACAGTGTGCCATATACATATACTCAGTACACACAGTGTACTATTAGACATACT